CCTTAACGATAACCACATTTTATATGTGTATTTGATTGCTTTTCCTCCCGGTTATAATTTAAAAATCTTCTATGGTGTTTTGTTTATTATGACGGTTAATTTAATGACTGCTATGAATCTTGGTACTGAAACTTTAACAGCATGACAAAGAAATTCGGGCAAACTAACAAGAAAACGTGAAACGATGCTTTGGCCCGTAACCCCTTTATTATACATATCTCATAACTCTAGAAAATCGGGTTTTCGCATGTAATCTTAATATGACCTCAGGCGTCATGCGTATAAGAATAGATAGTTTGATAGCCCCACCTCAAAAAATTTAAGCTTCGACCTTATTGAGCCATGCCACTCCTTTTCTGATCTCATTCTCATTAAACATTTCATTTTTTTTTTCATTTTCTCAATTTCTCTTCGGTAATTCAGTCATTTTTTTGTTTTAACAAAAATTTAAAACATATTCAAGTTGTGACTAGTCCTCTGCAGATAATATCAGTCTCCGATCGATAAAGAACAAGTATCAACCAGACCTACACGCGAGAATTGGTTGCAGTCATCCATCAACAAAGAAAAAGAGACTTTTCGTCTCGACTAAATCGGTTCAAGGACTTGGCTCTAAGACGACGGCAATCAAAACGAACAATGGACTACAGAAATTCTTATATTGCTACCAAACTACCGCCTGGACCATATCGATCTACGCCGACAGTGTCGAAAACGAGTGTACGAGAGTTGAATTTTTTACGATAGCCACCCGGCATTAGAAAAGACTAAGATAAACGACACAACCTAGCTCCAACAGTCTGCCAGAAAAATTCGCTTCGAGTATGACTGCGAGTCAATCCCATTGTTTGAAAATCAGGAGGGCTGTATTCGTGATTATGCTGAGCGCAAATCGTACTGGGATATTTAGACAGCATTGTCTACCGAGTCATTTGTTAGGGGAGCAGTTTCAACTCCAGCTTCAAAACAATCAGCTTCCTATTCAGATGCTCGGATTTCATCGACACAGGGTCCGGAGAAAATTGATCTAGTTACTTCAGGTCTCATTCAAGAAACTCTTCCAAATGCAGCTTGCTATGCTCCAAAAAACTACAGTTTTGAGAGTTCTATTAACTTAAACAAAAAACTATTTCTTTTGTTTCGATTATTGTTCCTCAGCTTTTATCTTTTCATTTTTCTTTGAATTGATTTTCAATTTGTTTTAAAATGACCGGGTGGTGTGTATAATCTTTGTCTCAGCTTTCATCTTATCTGGTAGATCAATTTAATTTTGCTCTGCAATGTTTTCAGCAAAATGTTAGAAAATATTTTGAAAGGAAATTTAAAAATATCATAAATCGAGAATAGTTTTTAGCTAAAAGTGTTGTTTGTTTGAGAAAGATATATATATATATATATATATATAAATGCATTTGCTCATTAGTGAGCCCCATTTTATCAGGAATAGAGATAGATATGGAAGGGTTTAACATTTATACGTTGATATTCCAACCCTTTTTTGGCCTTTTTCCAAACTTCTCAGCTCTCTCTCTCTCTCTATCTCGTTATACTTTGTGTCCGGTGGGGTTAGCCAGGTCGTAAGCAAAGTAACAGAGATTGATTTAATCTGTAGTTCTGTTTATTTTTTTCAGAAATTGATTTTGATCCTTAACCATCTTAGAACTCGCCAAGCGTTTCATGTTTTAATTTCATTTTCAAAAACTGAAAGCGAATCTAAGGTTGGAACTACTGTACTCCGACGCTGATAGTTTTGTTTATCCCATAAAAACTGAAGACGTTTACCGAGACTAAGAGAAAATAAAAGCTGACTTCGACTTCTCAAATTATGATGAGGATCATATCCTGTTCGACGATACAAACAAGAAAGTTGTGTTGAAGTTTAAAGACGAAATTGGCGGGAAGCCGATCAGAGAACTCGTCGCTCTAAAACCGAAACTGTATTCGGTCGTCCTTATTGGTGAACAAGAATCCCAACTTAGGCCACGTTTCCACCCTCACAGAAAAAACTACCACCGCCCTTACCAACCTCTCTCCCTCCCCCTTAATTTGTTACAATAAACTACGGGCATTTAGCTGATTTAGACAACATAATACAATGTTGCCTAAAAGTTATCTGAAAACATATTTCTTTTCTTTTCCTCTTTTTAAGCGTAATTTTCTGCTCTGTGGTAAAATGAATAAAATTTTGTTCGGTATAAATTGAGTTGCTAAAGTGAAAGGAATCTATCCCCTATCTCGTAGAAAAGAATTTTTTTGTTTGTTAAGAAGTGTTAGTTTTGAAGGCACTCAAACGTTGAGTGCCAAATGGATAAAATGCACTGCGCAGCAAGAAATGGTACAATAAACCTTCAGGGACAGATTTTTCACCAGGAAAACAATGAGAGTGTACAACTATAATATAGTTTCGAAATGTCACACTATTATGACAATGAAACAAGACAAACTTGCATTATCACCATTCATTTCAAAACGTTTTCTCGTTTTTGACGGGATTTCGGCAGCTACTTTTGGCCATAAGATCGCCGAAGATAAAGCATTTCTAGAAAACGTTAACATGGACACCGAGTTCTCCAACTCATACAGAAGCTGATAACAGTTCGCCCGAATTTCAACTTCCGGATTGGGGATTTTTACAGCGGCCCTACACAGAAACACAGCTGCGAGAAGAAGAAGCTTCTAGTAGCCGAGTCCGTGAACGTACCCCTATAAATATCCCATTTATTTTATCCGAAGCTTCGGAAGAAAGACCATCTAAAAACAGCGGAAAGAAAACCAAAACCTATATTTTGTTGATTTTTACTGCTCTTCCTTTTTATAATTCGGCTTAAACTTGTTTTGTTTTATACCAGTTAACTAGTAAAATATTAGTTTTGGGCTCAACCACTGTTTTAACATAAATTGCCTCGGGAAAATAAACTAGTTGACGCAAACCAAGGGTTAGTTCAAACCATTGTGTGAAATCCTTTGGTTCAGTTTTAATTATAAACTATTATTAGAATGACAAATGTTTGACGAAAAGAAAGAAAGCCAGGAAATGATATCCACATGAAACTAGGACGAAAAAAAAGTTCAGGAACTAGGACGATTAACGTTTATTATCGCGGGAAAAGGGACAGCTTTAAAGGGAATTAGAAGGAATTATTGTATCGGGTCCAGGTTGTTTAGCTCAGCTTATCAAGATCTTAGGGAGTGGGTCTTTTTTGGGGTAGGAACATACGATCGTTTAGAAAAGCCTAGGACAGGGGTCCTCCAAAAACTTAAGGACCCCTTTCCTAGGATTTTGCTTTACATGAGGCTCCCCCCATAGGATCCGGGACACGATACAATACTACTCTTGAATGTGCGTATATTGTTTCAGGGAACAGGAAAGAAGACAGCAACAGCTAAGAAGCGTGCATTAGGAGCCATGTCACTCACGCCAGTTTCGAAAAGAATTTCCAGGTATTACAATGAGAGCACGGACGATAGGGACACTGAAGCGACAGAGCCATTGAGCAAACAGAGGAAAACGGCTGGTTGTTTCAGCGCAACAACTGCAACAGCAGCTAACTGTTCAACTCGCATTACATCAAGGTCCAATGGTTTTAGTATCAATGGTCCCTTTTTGAATTGTAGTTTCGGCTTCTCCGACAGTCCATGGACTATTAAAACAACTGCCAGGTAAGACATATACTTTATTTCGAACGATCCCGATCTTATTGCCGGGGGGGGGGGGGGGTAGGGGGAGTTGTAATTGTAACTAGGTGCTACAGGCGACCTTTCGATAAGGTCTGCCATCTAAGTCAAGGCGCTTATTGTGATTGATGACAGATGTTCTTCTTTCAAACTACTTATAGTTAATGCCTTTTTGGTCTGCAAGAAGTTGAGTAATCTAAATTTGAAGTCTGAATTCAATTTTAACCTGATTTTCATTCATAAAAACTGTCAAAGAATCTAGTGAACCTAAAGTCAATGTTCTTGGCCCATTAAAATGCTCAAGGTTCTTTTTCTTGTTTCAATGTTGTAATGAAATTCTGTCGGCTTTGTTTCGGCTCTTGTCTCTCCAATCTCTCACTATAAGCTGCAGTTGAAATGTCGATCCTGTTTTTAGTGGTTTTTACTGGATTCCGTTTTAACTGGAGTCAGCTTTGATCTATGTTTTTGCTTCAATTTCTCATTTTAAGTTGGTTTATGGTTTAATTGACGTCGTTTGGGAAACCTCATACGTTCATTTGGAAGTTTTGTAAGATTTTCGTTTTCTATTTTTTTTTGCATTTGATGTCAAATAATAAAATCAGGGGCGGATCTAGGATTTTCTCGAGGGGGGACTTTTTGTCGACTTTTTCTTGGCTCATCCCAAGAAAATTTTGTCGACTTTTTTTTTTTCGACCAAATGTTTTTCCGAGCTCTCCCAAAGCATTAAAAAGACCCTGTTTTGGTCAAATTTTTGGCGCTGTAGGAAAATTTTGACAAAAAAATGCGCTTTTTCGGTGCGTGCTCCCCCTCCCTCAAAATTAGTATATATTGGCGCCTTTAGACAATTTCTAGGGTTCGTCAGCCAAAAATAGATATCTCTAAATAATACAAAAGGGGGGACCCTTTGGGTATGCAGGGGGTAGAATCCCTGAGAAAGGGTCGTTCTCCCCGCGCATCCCCTAAATCCGTGTGAGCAAAAGCTTTGCGTGTAAAGCTTAACATGAGTGTTTTTGTGGTGCGGGGGTTCGAAGAGGAAAAATTTCATTTTTCAGGTTTCTCTGCTTTTTGCATTGTTCATTTAGTGCTTCTACCGTATTGCGCTGAACGGTTAGAAGTATGAAGGTTTTTTTTGTCTGAAAACTTGTTATTTCTGTTAGTGGGACAGGTGAGCCCCTGGATCTGTCATTCGGCTCATCCCAAGAAGACTCTTCTGCGGCTCCTTCCACAAGCAACACTCTGCATGTAGCTTCGACATCATCAGCATCATCTTCTTCCGCTAGCATTGTGCAGATCAAGAATGAAAATGAACAACTCCAAATCAATTCCACTGTAAGCTGTTACGCTAATTTGCATTTCGAAGTGCATTCAATTCCAAAAACTCGCTTAACTTGCAGGTCTAGAGGTACTGGACTGTGTGTAAATGACGAGGTTTATTTTTATCACTTAAACTTTTTCGTTTTTTTTTATTTTTGGTTTCATCCTAAGTCCAAAAGTGCTTTGATGCTTTTTTGTCTGTATTTTACTGGCACTCGGCGAAAGTTCTAATCTCTTTTGTGTTGTTGAAGTCATCCGACTAAATAGAAGAACCCGTTTTCTATGCAATTAGTTTAAAAGTTTTAGGCAAATACTATTCTAAGGGGTATTTCCACGTGAAATAAAGTATCTTATTGTTATCTTATAGCGATATGAGGCCATTTTTGAAACTCATTTGAAAGCCCTTCTGGTTTGCCGAAATTTTGTCGGTATCAGCAAAAGGAGTATGAATTGAACCAAAATTATTTCCTAGAAAGCTAAGGATCGTAGCTTCCCACAATATCTACGCTCAACACAGGATAAATACTTTTCCAGCCTACGTTACAGGTTTTTGTGTTCAATTTTAGCGTTTCAGTATATCTAGACACTGCCCATTTTTTTGCGTTTTATCTGCGAAATGAGCGCATTTAATGCTGTCTGGTGTAACTAGTAGAATATATGTTAAGTACATAATAGAGTAAGGCAAATGACTGGTTCGATTAATTCTTTTGTTTTTGAAGCGTATTTTCCTCATTTTTTTAAACATTTTAAAATCTCCGTTGTCTTTTTTTGCTTTTGTTTGCGATGTCAAGTCTTGCTTCGTGTGAATGAAAAAGTCCTGTATGGAACCAGAGAGATAGTGAGCGTAGTGTTGAGTTACGAATCCACTTATTTTAATTTTTGCTGCACAGTATTGGAATTAGAATAGCATCTGTATGTCTTCTATTTTGAAGACTTGTGTTCGAATATTTCAAATGGCGCGGTTGAATGGACTGGAGGCTCGAAATCTTTATGTCTGTGGTTCGATTCCGGCACCTACCTAAAATTTTGTTTCGAGGCTTATTTTTACCTTTTCTTTCGTTATTTAACGTTTTCCCCTTTTTAAAGCTTATTTTTGCCGTTTTCCCAATAGTGCATGGGAAGTTACACTGCACCTCCGTGTGAATAGTTGTATCGGCCCTGAAAGATCATTTTACTCTTTAAATTGCAACTTGTTTCTCGTGACCATTGTGTCAACAGTGGAAATATAATGGCCAGCCAGATGGAAAGGTCTTTTCATTTATTTTTCTCAAAATTGGTTTGGCCATCAAAAATGCTAAAACATAAGTTTCCTCCATTTTATCAGACTTTTCTCAAAAAATTTATGATTTTCTGGAATTTTTTAAATAATTTTTGCGTGACTAAGTGCTTTTTATATCAAATTTATTTTGTTGAGTGCTTACTTTTTAAAATATCTTACCTAGATCAAAATTCTTACAAAAATGAATATGCATTATAAATTGAATCTGAGAAATTGCAAACCGAGTCTTGAAATTACTAGTGGCTCTTTCAATATATCAATTAAATAAAAAGTGAATTTTTGCTGATTTCAATTTTTGATTGTTTTTTTTTTAAAAGTTGTAAAGCTTATTCACACTCATTTCTATTTTGGCGGTATAATTTTTTTGATTTCTTTTGAAGTACGGTTTCTTATTTTTTTTCTCATTTAAGGTAAAGTATGCTTCTAAACAGATAGAGTGGCGCTTAAATTAAAGCTTAACTTTAATCCACAATTTTTAGGTGCTAACGGATTCTTTTTTTCTCTGAAAAATTGACAGATTTGGTTCTACTTTGATAAAGAAACAGGCTTCGTCCCGATTTATTAATTAATTTCCGTTCTTGCTAATGGAACTTTTTGGTCATGTTTTCTTTTCTGTTACACTGGGCTGGTTAATTAATGCATATATCATATAAGCATAATGCTTTGTTTACAGTCAGCTCCAACTTGTTCACAACTTGCTTCTTCTGGTGCTACTGGGAATACCACTACCACTTGTAACACACAACAGACAAGCATGACAGAGGACTGGGCGGGAGTGGAGTATGTGGTGCTGGATGATGACATCATGGTCCAGAGGCCTCCCCCGCCCCTGTTTGTGGACCTCACTTGCGAGGAACCAGACTCAGACGAGACCAGTTCATCTTCAGACACAAACAGCTCCACAACTTCTCCTTCCACCTCGCTGTCATTTTAAACTGAGAACAGAAGTCTGAGATGAAACTGAGAATTTTGTGCCATTGATGAATGAAAACGGGGTTATTAATGGGGCTCTTTTCTAGTTTCTCACCCATTCCACACTTGTTCCAACATTTACAACCTCCGTTTTAAAATGTACTTCAACTCAAAATTTGATAATCAGAACCATCTCTAAAACGTGTCACGGGTAAAAATATCAGAAAAATGTAGACCATTTTGATATAGAAGTTACCGTTAAATTAAGTTTTAGATTAATTTACCGGAATAATAATATAATAAATGATTTGGAAATAAGATTCAATCCAATGTTAAGTTTATGACATTTTCAATCAAAATGAAATCATGTTGAGAAACTTAGTGGTTGGGAAACATAGAAGAGAGCCTTATTTTTTTTGTAAGTATTCAATTGTTAATATGGCTGAAGCGTTCCAGGCCTAAGACGAGGTCGTCAATCTTCTCGATCAGTGGGGCGTCAGTTTGACAAATGGGGAAAACACTATAAAGTCAAAGCGGACATTGCTCATTTCCAGATTTTTTTGTTCTTACCATTTGAGTTTTGTGATAAAAAATAAAGTAGCAAGAATTTGAAATCAATCTCAGAGCAAGGAAATAGAGAAATTGCAAAAAATGATAATGAGTGAAAACTTTAATATCAGTTTATTTGCTATCAACGTCCATTTGAAATAGTTGTATGATTATAATCCGAAAATTCAGTGTAATTGTCTCCAAATAGGTTGTTTGCACCAAGTATGCAACTGATAGGCAATTAAAACTTGTAGCCTGGAAGAGAGCAATTTGTTTGTTGTGTATATGGGAATAAACTCGAATTCTATTTTGTTTGAGTATTTTTATACGTAGATATTATTTTGAATCGGTGGTTGAAGAGGACTTGTATTATTCAATTAACTCAAATGCTGTACATCAGTTCAAATGTTGAATTGGAATTTTTCACTAATTTTGATTTTTTTGAGATGATTTTGTCAAATATATGGAGTCAATGTGTAATATTGGTTGTGTGCTGAACAGTTAATACCAGTAGTGGGATGCTGTATTGCTCCTCCTTTAATGTTCCTTGTGTACATTTTAAAGGATTTCTCATTTAAGTTATTACCCTTGCGATAAGCAAGGGTATTGCAATCGGGTACTAGACTTTTTTCCCGTAAAGAACTTTGTTCGCAGAATGGACGAAATGGTAATCATTTTAATAACACCATGGTTAGTGTAGTGTGCAGTAGTTGCATATTAGGTATGGACTTTGGGTTCCTGTTAATTGTTTATTTTAAAAGTATTTTCTGTGCCGAAAATTTTCTCTATGTTTCTTTTTCGATCAGCTTTCTGTGGTATCATGTTGGAGTGATTGCTTTTTAATGTCAAATTTTGAAAACTTTCTGGGCTCCTTATTTGTTTCAATTATTTTTTTGAAAATTTCAAAATTATCGAAATAATTTTTTAGTTTAGTTTTTTTGTTGTGATTTAAAAAAGCGTTCAATTCAATTTTATTTCACTTCCAGATAGTATTGATACGTGCAAGGGCTCATTTGTTTTTTTTTTACACTTGCGATCAGCTTAGTGTAATATTATGAACATTTTTTTCTAAGCTAGCTCGCAAATAAGTGCTCATTAAAACTGTTCACTTATTTGGAAGATTCAATGTAGCATTGGAAATCGCATCTTTTCTCTGCTTTATTTGTGAGTAGTGTTTGGTACCTTTGAAGCTTCCGTGGCTAGTGTGTGAGAGCTTTAGTCTCTAGGTCGCAGGTTCGAATTTTAGGCATAACCGATTTTTTGCTAATTCGAGGCTTATTTCCACTTTTTTTATTGCACTTTATAGAGCTGCTTTATGACGTGTTCTCACTAGTGTGTAAAATGCTTCAATGATACGGCTTTTTTGTCTTTTTTCAGCAATATTATCTTAATTGCGTTTTTTTTCGATTGAGGTTTTGTTCAACTTTCCCTTTCTTTAAACTCGTTTTTGCCTGACCCAAGTTGACCCAAGTTTTTGAAGATTTAAAATCGGCGTTTGTTTTCGGCTTCAGAACTTCAAAATCATTTGTTTGTTTTTAGCAGCGTAAAAGTTTTTCGGTAAAAATTGTTGTTAAGTAATCGTTTTTATTGCGTGTTTTCTGCATAGTTCTGGCCAGTTTAACACGTCAGTTGGTTTCAAACTGATTTTGTTGCTGGTTTAATTTTAAAAGTGTTTTCTAATATTTTTCCAATCTGATATTTCAATTTTTTTTCTTACTTTTCAAAAAATACAGTTTTTTTCCATCGCAAGTGGTGCGAAGCTCTGCTTCTCCTTTGTGCTGAAGATTAGTGATGATTTTCAGAAGAGTTTTTAATCGCGTTTTTGGAATTGAAAGCGCACGAAACTTTGTCTGTTGAAGGGCTCAATTATTGATCCCTGCTAAATAAATCCCCTCTTTGGAATCAAACAATGCATGTACCTTCGAAGATCACCTACAAAATAAAAAGATCCTGTTTGATAGAAACAGGTAGTATGAAAGCTCATAGGATTTTTTATGTTTATTTTTTTTGGAGAAATTTGCAAATTTTGTTTTTACTATTCTTAAAAGTGTTAGTTTTTCTCAAATACCACTTTTTAAGAATGGTGAACGTAGTGCAGACTTACATAGGTCTTGCTGATTTTTTTGTTTTTTTTTTCAGGAAAAATCTTAAAATGTTGCTCCTAGGTATATATGCACTTTGATCTCAATTAAAATTCAAGTGCTGAAAGTGAAGTAAATAGTACTCCAATTACGAATGTGCAAATGGCGCAAAACTTTGTGAACGATTTCCAGATTCGAAAGTGGAATTTACTTTTCAGATTTCCAGCGGAATAAAACTTTACCTTTGGATCCAGTTTTCTCAAGTTATGGTAATGTTATCAAAAAAGCGCAATCATAATTTGTTCTCGAATTTCAAAGGCCTCAAGGGACATCTATTTTTTTTGAAGTTTGAAACTTGAGATTTTTTTTAACAAAGTTTTTTTCTATGTTTATTTGCGTCCATTACTCTTTTCCAATCTTCGATTGGCTATGTTTCGCGATTTCCAAAAAAGTGATAGCAATAGAAAGACCGCCACATCTTCTGTGTGCCTGCATAAACGGCTTGTTTCTTTACCCCATACCTCGTTTTCTGCAGCCTTCGAAAAAGTTTTCGACCCGTAATTTTGGACTTTTTTCCTTTTCTCGAAAACTATTCCACCAAATCTAAGATTTTGAGTTCAATGGAGCGAAAACGTTACCCTGTCATACCTGAAATTTTGGTTTCAATTCTTGGAACGGGTTTCAGGATGCTTATTGGCTTATGCGACTACGCCCATATTTTTTGACTAAAAGTTTTGGCCCTCGCAAAGAAAAAAAATTTGATTTTATCTACCGTTTTTTAAATTCGTTTTTCTCGAAAGTTACTGTCCCAAATCTGAGATTTTGGGTTCAATGGAGTGAAAAGCTTGTGTGAAGTTCCACTGAATAAGCGGACACTCCAATTTTCTATCGCAAAAATTTTGACCCTCGGATATTAAAATAAATTATTTTCGATTTCTGCAACTCCTTTTTTCTCGGAAGCTACCGTCCCAAATCTAAGATTTTAGGATCAATGGAGTGAACAGTTTGTGTGAAGTTCCCCGAATAAGTGGAAACGTCCAATTTGTTCACGCAAAAGTTATGGCCCTCGTGAATGTCAATTAATTGATTTTAATGACAGTTTTTTTGAAAATCCTTTTTTCTCGGAAGCTACCGTCCGAAGTCTGAGTTTTTACGTTAAATGGAGCGGAAACGTTGTTTGCAGCTCCTCTGAATAAGCGGGTATGCCCAAATTTTACGAAAAACAGTTAGCTCTGGGAAAAGTCAAATATTTGATTTTCTTGACCGTTTTTCTGAAACTCCTTTTTTATCGGAAGCTACCGTCCCAAATCGGAGATTTTGGGCTCAATGAAGTGTAGAGAATGCATGAAGCTCTCCTGAATAAGCGGTACTCCAAATTGTTTCACACAAAATGTTATGGCCCTGTGAAAAGTCACGCACTTGATGTTATTGACCGTTTCTTGAAACTTTTCGACTTGTCTAAGTTCCAAAATGTGAGATTTTGAATTCAATCAAAAAACTTGATATAGGCTTTGGACATTTGTATAAAAGGCTAAAAATTTAAAAAATTATCGCCTTCAGAAAGATAATGTATTTTTTTGGGCTTCTCGAAAACGACCTAGCCAAACCTAATATCAAGGGTTTAACAGAGACAAGATGCTGTGGAAAGCTTTGTTCATAAGATTTAGAAGGAAAATGTTAAGTTATTATGAAAATCTCAAATTCTCTAAAAGTTCACTCTTACTTTTGCTAGAGAAGCAACTAGGGTTTGTGTTAAACCCCTTTTTTAGTTTTCCAAATTATCAATTACCCCCTTCATCCCGTATCAGTAGTATTTAATCTAAAATATCACAGGTACTTCCAAATTTAGCTTTGCCCCTAGTTAGTAATGATGGTTATATGAGATTTCGGGTCACTTAAAATTTTATCCAATGTCTCTCGCAATGGCCCTGCGGTAGAAGTTCGTCGTCCTAACAAGTCAAAACTGCCAGACGCATTCAAACAAGCTCTAGTCTTGGGAAGTAAATAGGTCGACCAAATTGATCTTTTGAGCGCTCCCCAAGACTATTACGACTCACATAGATGAAAACGTTTGCGCGGCAGGCGAATTATCGAAAAAACAGGTTAAGTTGCCGTTTTTGGACATTTGATGAAAAATTATGACCAGAAAATAGCGTTTTTTTTTTCCGGAGAGCACTCGCCTTCAAGTTTATATATTAATGCCAAAGGCTTCCGTTGAAAGTTTTGATGATTGGTAAGCTGAAAATGGATGTCACAAAACTATAACAAAGGGTGACCCTTTGTTTGGTGAGGGGTCGACTCACTGAGAGGGGGTTTTGCCCACCCTTCCTCTCTAAACCTGCCCCTGGATTAAATTACCAAATCAATTGAGTAAAAAGGCGGTTCTTCATAGGAGCTTGCGCTAAATTACGCATTCCGTTTTCCAATTTAATTTACACAATTTTTGTTTGTTTTCTGTGTTTAGTTTTTACGCAAGCAATTAGCAAGCGGTATCAAACCGGAATATAGACCTTTTTTGGGTTAACAACTTGTTTAACAGAATCACTTAAATGTCCTAGCATAGAAGTTTGGTTTCAAATAAAATTA